TAGAGTCCTTATCGACCCTCTGATATTTTTTTGAAAAGATTAAGCCATGGCATTCAGATCGGCCAACAAAAAACAGAAAAGACGAGATATATATGACTGGAAACCATATTCTTGATCCTTGGTCCTTGATAAGGACCAGATCAAGGATTTTCCCCCGAGAAAACAAGATATATATGACTGGAGAAAAAATCCTTCATCCTTGGTGCTTGATAAGGACACTATCACATCTTGAATTTTCTTCCGATCACAGGAAGCAGTAGCATGCCAGGATCGGACGACAAATAAGGGATAAAACTACAATACAAAACTGGCTTTTTGTTGTAATTTACTGTTGTTGTTGCTGTCAATTGTTGTACAACAACAAATCAACAAACAACCTTGAATTTGCGAATGCTCAAATGGCAGAAAATGAGAAATTTCAGATCTTGGATACCAGGCGAACAGAAATCAGTAGAAAGCAACTTTGGCGCATGCAAAAATGTATTGCATACTTTTGGGGTATACCAAAAGCTGAGTTGCTTTCTGCTGATTTCTGTTGGCCTGGTACCGAGTTTCGAAATTTCCTCGTTGACGTCCGATTTTATTTGCGTTTTTGCTTTGGCTATATCTGGAGTATTTATGGGCCGATCTGGGAGGGGCATGTCTTTTCGGGATCGGGAGAGTCCTGCCATCCGATTGGCATCAGAAAAAAGGACATACAGTTTTTGACGATTTTCGCAAAAAATACCGTTTAACAGTCTGTATCGAGCTTTTTTCAGTACTCTATATCTTTGGTATTTGGCTGGCGATCACGGCTTGCCACTCCTCCCCGTAGCTTTTAACCGAACAAGGACATCAAGGACAATAATGATATGCTTTTGATCGCTATTTTTCAATAGATTTTTTAGAAAAATCGCTAAAACTCTGCCGTTTCCTGTCCGAACTGGGCGTGCCACACCTCTTTTTAGTCGGCAGAATGTCCCCGACCATTTAACGACAAGGAAAATAAGGATATTTCCCTTTTAACCTTTTTTTCAAGATGAGCCACTATATCTTTCCCATTTCTTGTTCGATATCCCTGATTCTTTGAAACCAGACTCTCCACTTCTTGTCCGATATCCCTGATTCCTTAAAAGCGGATTGAAATCAAGGACAATAAGTATATTGCTGCTGTTACGTTTAGTTTTTTATATACATTTTTGGTAATAGCCTCATTGTTCTTTTTGATATAATTCCGCTATTTCTCATCCGATCCTGGCGTACAATGCCTCCTCGTAATCGGGAAATATTTGCGATCGTTGAGAAATAATTTGAATATACTTGAATGTACTTATTATTTCTTATCTGTGGCCTAATCTGTTTCGCATTCTCAGCTGCTACGACCTTCTAGTCCTTCTAGTCAAGTGGCAGTCGATTAATTCTGAAACCAATGGGAGAACAAATGAATTTCTACTTTTCCTTCTATTAACAGTACCGCCGATCATGTATGTAGCCCTGTACAGAGTCCGTATCTCCTTAAATACGATGCTAGATGATGTGGATGCAAAAGTGGATTTAGCAATTAGATTGCAACAATTCACTAGCTTGATCTTTCAGACATCTGCTTCCACATCCTTGCGTTTTGCCTCCATTCTATATTCCTAATTGACCTCAACCATATATTCTATAATCCTAATTTGCCTCTCACCTGATTATGGAATTTGCTGTTATATTTGAGTGGATTTCGTGTTTTCTGATTTTTGGAAATTCTTTTGGTTTTACAGCAGCCCCGAAGCGAGTATTTACTGAACCGCAAAATGTACACCAAACTTCCTCCCCCGTCGCCCACGCCACTGCAATTGTTTGCTTTTTGCCAGCAACCCACATGGCAACAATTTCATATTTTTCATTTCCATTAAAAAAAATTTGAGCGCAACAAAAAACTCCCGCGACTTTATAATTCAATTTAAAAAGCGCAGAGCAGCAGAGAGCAGCAAAGAGTCGAGAAGAAGAGCGTGGAGGAGAGCCGTGCCAGGGTGGAACACAAAAAATAATTATTAAAATAAATTAAATGTCTGCCGCTGCCCTCATAAACTTCACCGAGTGGGCAATTAAAGGAGCCGCGGAGTGAGCCGAGTACTGGAACGCGGTTAGTTTTTTCCTGTCTCCTCTCCTCCCCGCTCCTTCGAAAGTTGAAGAGTTAAGCGGGAAAAAAGAGAGAGAAGTACGTAACGTAACACAAAAAATAGAGTCCAAATTGCTGGCATGGCATTTTGACTCGAATTTCACACAACGGCATGGTAAATGGCAAAAAATTGGCATGTGAAACGATTGCAGGAGAGAGTCCTGCCCCAACAGCTGCAGTTTCTGCCACACTACACCCACCCCCACTATCTCTCTCTCTCTCTCTCTGTCTGTCTGCCTCTACCACGCCCCCACAAAAGGAGCAGTTAATAAAGCCCGCAGACCATGTGCTGCATGACCAACAAAAAAACAAAAAAAATATAACGAAGACACATAAATGTAGAGGCGAAGAAAGGAACCATTTTCTAGAGACAGACCCGGCAAAACCGGCAAAAGAAAAGCGCTGACCAAAAGGAAAATGATTGGAAATGAGTGAGGGATTAAAAAATAATTGAAGTACAAATTTGATTTGAAAAATGCAATAGGGGTTTCGTTTCCAGGAGCTGGCCCTCATCTTTGCGCACTTTTCATTTCACGTTCGCCGCATTCTGTAATTATAATATTTAATAGCCATAGAATATTTACAACTTTTTATTATCTTATGGAATATGACAAACTTTGTATTATTTTAATTATTTATATATATTTGATAATATCAATTTGCCATGTAATCAAATATGCCCGCAGCCATTCGTCAATTTTATTGTGGCTAATGGTGTAGGTATGTTTTTTGCAGAGTCGTGACACTGATCGGTTTAATGATGGGGAAACCGCAAAAAGTTTTTTCACATTCATTTTCGACATGCATATTAAATGTTGGAAGGACGGCAGAGAAAATTGCTTCAGCAGGTTTAGGTCAGCTATGATAAGGCTTTCCTTTAAAAGAGAAACCCATCTATCCCTTTTTTATTATACCCGATACTCAAAATGAGTATTGGGGTATATTAGATTTGTGGTAAAAGTGGATGTGTGTAACGTCCAGAAGGAATCGTTTCCGACCCCATAAAGTATATATATTCTTGATCAGCATCAATAGCCGAGTCGATTGAGCCATGTCTGTCTGTCCGTCTGTCCGTCTGTCCGTCCGTCCGTCTGTCCGTCTGTCCGTCCCCTTCAGCGCCTAATGCTCAAAGACTATAAGAGCTAGAGCAACGATGTTTTGGATCCAGACTTCTGTGATATGTCACTGCTCCAAAAATATTTCAAAACTTTGCCCCGCCCACTTCCGCCCCCACAAAGGGCGAAAATCTGTGGCATCCACAATTTTGACGATACGAGAAAACTAAAAACGCAGAATCGTAGAAGATGACTATATCTTCTAGAGTGCAAAATCTGAACCAGATCGTATAATTATTACAGCCAGAATCACGAAAACAATTTCACTCTTTCTCGCTCTGTCTCACTCTAACACACAGGTTTCATGGTCGGTTTTGCCAATTGCAAAATATGAGTTCAAGGATCTCAGAACCTATAAAAGCCAGCGCAACCAAATTTGGTATCCACACTCCTGTGATATCGGACCTTGACCGTTTCCTGTCCAAATTTCGCCACACCCCCTTCCGCCCCCTCAAAGGACGAAAATCTGAGGCAACCACAAATCTCAGAGACTATTAAGGCTAGAGTAACCAAATTTGGTACACACACTCCTTTAAGATGTCACTATAAAACGTATATCTCAGAATTTCGCCCCACCCCCATCCGCCCCCACAAAGGACGAAAATCTGTTGCATCCACAATATTGCAGATTTGAGAAAACTAAAAACGCAGAATCATAGATAATGACCATATCTATTAGATTGCTGAATCTGGATCAGATCAGATAATTTTTGTAGCCAAAAGGAACAAATCAATTTGCATTGGCTACGCAGCGCCCGACGTCACGCTCAGACTGATTTTCTGTCTCTCTCGCACGCACTCTTTGTCGTGTCGTTTAATATTAGCGGCGCTGCCGGAGGAGAGCCATACTGACTTAGTATCGGGTATAACTGTAGAGTTGCGGTGTCCGCAGCAACTCACAACGTTCCCCCTCGTTTTTTTTTTTGTCTTGCCTTCAGCGTACGGCCGGGAATTCTTACTGCCTTTGTATGTGGAGCCTTCGCTCCGCCATGCTTTGATATCCTATGCTTTTTGTCCATCCCACTTTCGTATGCAGTGCGTTTTATATTTTTTCTTTCGTTTTTGCCATCTCCTCTCCTTTTTTCCCGTTCTTTCTTTGCCACTGAAGACTTTTTGTGGCTGGAGCCATTCCGGCGTCAAAATTATGTCAGCTACCAGAAGCCTGCTAATATTTACTAATCAAATAATTCCGAATATATTTAACATTGAAATGGAAAGCATAGATTCGAAGCACAGATCGTAACGCTTCCTTCCTCAATCTCTCCTACTCCCCTCCCAGACGACGTTGTTGTTTAAATAATTGGCAGCACTGAAAAAGTCCCACAAAATGAGACTTCTCTTCTTCCACTTGCCTAGCACGGACTCGAACCACGGACAATTTTCAACACAGGCGCTAGCTCGGGTATTTTTGTACAATTATTTAAACTGGCGCCCCTAACAGGAGAAAAGCGAAACTGCTACATTTTACATTCTACACTGATGCCCCGCGTCTAGAATTATGTAAAAGTCCATGTAGCAAAATTTAACTACAATCTTACAAAAAATTCATTAATTTACCTAGTACAATTATTTGCAGATTCAGAGTTTCGAGGGCGCAAGAGACTACAATACTGAGAGGCTTATAGATCTGTCGCTGTTTCTTTCCTCCGCTATCTGACAATCTGAAAAAACTTACATTCATTCTAGCAGTTTATAAGATAGACCCATAGCTGATTTCGACTCAGTCTTATCTGAGTTCTTTGATGGGATTCGTGCTGATATTGTTAACATCGCTGCTCAGTGGCGTGCTTGGATACCTGCGATGCAAATACAACTACTGGCAGATAAATGGGGTGAAACAGCTGCGGGCCCACTTCCTCTTCGGGCATTTCTTCAAGATGAAGTCCGTGCGCTTAACGGAACTCCTACAGGAGACATACGATGCCTTTAAGGGTAGTGCTCTGGTGGCAGGAACATACGTATATCTACGACCCATAGCCGTCATCTTGGACTTGGACCTAGCCAAAATGATACTGATTGAGGACTTTGACAAGTTTGTGGACCGCCGAAACTTTCACAAGGAGCCCTTGATGGACAATCTCTTCAATGCTCAGTGCGAGGAGTGGTGTACGCTGAGAAAAAAGCTGACGCCAATGTTCTCGAGCGGAAATTTGAAATGTATATTCGGAACGATCACAGAAGTTGCACGGAATCTAGAGGAGAGCTTTCAGGAGTTGGTTGGCACCCAAGGAGGTGTTCTCGATGTGCATGATCTGTTGGATCGCTTCAGCATGGATGCCTCTGCCACATGTGCCTTTGGTATCCATTTCAATAGCCTCAAGGATCCGCAGGTGGAGTTTCGAGTGAACGGACGTAAGATCTTTCACCACAGCGATGACGGTATTCGTTGGCGCATCTTTAAATTCTTGTATTGGAGCGTCTTGGCAAAACTAAAGCTCTCCGTGCGGTTCTATGACAAAATCATCGCAGACTTTTTTACACGCATCGTCAGGGAGAAGCTGGAGTTAAGGCAAGAGTTAAGGCACAATATCAAGAGAAATGACTTCTTGGAGCTTTTAATGGCATCGAAAGATGACAATGACTTGACTCTGGAGCAGCTAACACCCCATGCCTTTGACTTCTTTGTGTCTGGCTATGAGACCAGCTCCAGCACCATGTCTTGTGCTCTCTTTGAGCTCGCCAAGCATCCATCGGTGCAGCAGAAACTGAGAAATGAGATCACTGGGATTCTGCACAAGCACGCGCCAAATCTGACCTATGAAGCCGTGCAGGAGATGCGCTACTTGGACCAGACAATCACAGGTAGGTTTTGTTCACAGATAAGATGAAGATAACACGGCGAAAGATGCTCTTATCCGATAACAAATGAAGTATGTACTGGCCGAGTAATCTTACGTTTATTCTTCTCTCTTAAAGAAACACTGCGCAAGTACCCGGCCCTGGCCTCCCTGACACGAATCGCCGCCGAGGACTATACGGTTCCCACCGCCTCTGGAGACATTCCCTTGGTTCTAGATAAGGGCACCATCGTTTATATACCCGTCCGTGCCATACACTACGATTCAGAGATCTATCCCGAACCGACAATATTCCGGCCGGAACGGTTTGAGACCTCCACCTGCCTTCAGCGCCATTCCATGGCTTTTCTTGGCTTTGGCGATGGGCCACGCCATTGCATAGGTCAGCAATTCGGCCGAATGCAGATTAAAATTGGACTCATCGCGTTGCTAACGAAATATCAGTTCAGTTCTGTGCCTGGATTCCCAGACGAGCTGCCGATAAGCAAAGGGAATGTGATACTCAGACCTAGGCAAGGGGTTCTATTGAAAGTGCATCGAGTGCCGGAATAAACAAAAGGCCAGCCAAGCGGTGCGATAACACCTGCGCAACATTCGACTCCACTGAAAGGGGATCTTGTGAATGTCCGATCAGAAAAACAAGGGTCTTCGGTTGCAAACGAATGCTCGCCCGATCTGCTCGAAATAATCAGAAAAGTGTTTCTATTAATCTAAACAAGAGAATGCTTTGAATAAACAAACTGCCCTGCCAGATAGAATGGGTTTCATTGGGCTGTGGGTGCAGTCTGGTGGCATCTGGTAACATCTGGTGTCGTCAGCTGGGATCCGAGCCTGTTGGCGTCTGATGGCACCTGTCAGCAGAAAATTGAATTTAATTCCCTCGTTTGGCGGTCGATTGAAAGCCAAACCGAAATTTATAGTTGCCGCAAAGCTGCAGCCTAGGAACCGCCGCCGCACCGCAGCATCACCTTCCCCCCACCCCTATAGCTGGGGCTGGCGGCAACTCCTCAGTTATCCCAGAAGCCAGAATTCCGACACCATGAGGCATTAAATCAACACAAATGACTCACACACACCTACACACATGAAGGCACGCAGCAGTGATACACATACGCAGATACGGACACACACACAGACACAGATGCAAAAGAGGGGGGTGGGAAGTAGACTTGGGCAGCCATGTGAGCCGACCAGAAACCATTGCGGTTCATTTTGATGCACTGCTCCGTTAGGCCAACACCCACATGTCCTTCTGCTCAACGCTGTGTGTGTGCTTCAGTTGAAGGATGTGTGCGGGTGCCTGTGCCTGTGCTCGCATAAATCCAAACATTTACAATATTTTGCTAATTAGCAAAATATGTGTGAATAATGCATATGACAAAGAGGGAGGGAGCGAGAGAAGTGGAGCGGTGGGGAGTACTTAGGTTGATGCATCCTGTAGGTGTCATATTAAATTTATGACTCGTAGAGGCTGCCCACAGATATAGAGAGGCAGCGACATACAGAAACAGATGGACAGGGGCAGAGACACTGAGATACAGAGATACAGATATACTGAGGGGCGGAGAATGCGAAACAGAGTTACCCAGAGACAGTGACAAGTGGCAGGAACGGAGGACAATATCAACATTTCGGTCAATGATTAGTTCTGGGGGCCAGCAAAAGTTTCAACTACCAGGAGAATGCTTCGTTCCGTTATTAATCAATGCATGAGAGGAGCGGAGCGGAAGTCTGCTAACAGGTTAATATATCTGTATGTATGTACATATGTCTGTATGTATCGGCATCAGAGCTTTGTAGGCGAATTTTCGGACATGAATTTTAAACAATTTGATAGAAGGAAAGAAAGATCTGGTACACTTTAAACTTAACGAAGTGACATTGAAAGCATTTCGCCCATTATTTCAAAGTAGCCACACAAAATGCGTTTAACAATTAAAGACTGTGAATGCGAATTTTATGTTAAGGATATTGTTTTTATTGAGAGAACAATCGGATGCGAGAAGCGAAGCTTGGAAATGAAACGAACTGCCGTCTGCCGTCACTCAGTCGCCGCGATCCAAAGAGAGGAGAGCATAAACAACATTTAAATGTTAATCTGACTGTAGACTTATTTTCACATTTATTATCCCTACGCGCACAGGCAACCGTAAAATCATCGCACAATCACCTATGGACTACCAACGCTGATTACATACATATAAAACCTAAAGCCTGTGCGTGTTTCTGCTTCAAAATTATGTCAAATTTACCACTTGAGATCATTGATAAAATATTTGGACATCTTAGTCTTCAAGACAAACTGCAAGTGGGCCAAGTAAAGCAAAACCTTGGCCGGGCCTTTGCCTACCACCATAGATTCAAATATAAGTGCATTTAAAGCTCAAATTTTACATTTGACTCAGTTTCTGAGGCTATGAGGATCTACCGTTGTCCATAGTACTGTAAATCAACATTGTCTAAGAAAACTCCATAGACAAATCAAACGAGGGGGAACGTTGTGAGTTGCTGCGGACACCGCAACTCTACAGTTATACCCGATACTAAGTCAGTATGGCTCTCCTCCGGCAGACGCCGCTAATATTAAACGACACGACAAAGAGTGCGTGCGAGAGAGACAGAAAATCAGTCTGAGCGTGACGTCGGGCGCTGCGTAGCCACTAAAAATTGATTTCTTGCTTTTGGCTACAAAAATGATCCGATCTGATCCAGATTCGGCAACCGGATAGATATGGTCATTCTCTATGATTCTGCGTTTTTAGTTTACTCGAATTTGCAATATTGTGGATGCAACAGATTTTCGTCCTTTGTGTGGGCGGAAGGGGGTGGGGCGAAATTTTGAGATATACGTTTTATAGTGAGATCTAACAGGAGTGCGGATACCAAATTTGGTTACTCTAGCCTTAATAGTCTCTGAGATCTATGAATATCCCCAGATCTGCATCCTTTGCGGGGGCGGAAGGGGGTGTGGCGAAATTTTGAAACAAACTCGTCTCGGTCCGATATATTAGGAGTGTGGATACCAAATTTGGTTGCTCTAGCTTTTATAGTCTCTGAGATCTAGGCGCTAATGTTTTACTCTAAGCAAAGCCGCCTATGCTACGTGTGTGTTAGAGAGAGACAGGGCGAGAAAAAATTAAATTGTTTTCTTGATGCTGGCTATAATAATAATACGATCTAATTCAGATTCTGCAGTCTATAAGATATGGTCATTTTCTACGATTCTGCGTTTTTGGTTTTGTCTTATCTTTAAAATTGTGGATGCCACAGATTTTCGTCCTTTGTGGGGGCGGAAGTGGGCGGGGCAAAGTTTTGAAATATTTTTGTAGCAGTGACATATCACAGAAGTCTGGATCCAAAACATCGTTGCTCTAGCTCTTATAGTCTTTGAGCATTAGGCGCTGAAGGGGACGGACAGACGGACAGACGGACGGACGGACAGACGGACAGACGGACGGACGGACAGACAGACATGGCTCAATCGACTCGGCTATTGATGCTGATCAAGAATATATATACTTTATGGAGTCGGAAACGATTCCTTCTGGACGTTACACACATACACTTTTACCACAAATCTAATATACCCCAATACTCATTTTGAGTATCGGGTATAAAAATGGCTGCTCAGTTGACATCAAAATACTGGATAAACCTAGAATCTGCCACCGTGGATATAATACCGACAATTTTCAACGCTGCAAAACAAATTTTAAGCTGTTTATTGTGAACTATCGTGGAACGGCTCTGCATTTATATTTATTTGATTTTAATTTTTTCCGCTCAGCAATTGCGGCATCTGATTCACTTAGCATAATTACTGTTTTCTAGTGTTAATAACAATAATATTTTGGAAAACATGCTCCCATTTTAAGAAACTACGCATCTTGGAGATTTGGAAGATTTTATTCTCCGAATTTAAGCGAAAATAATTTCAACAAAGATGAAACTTTGGTATTGGAAGAGGACTGTCCACTGCAGTGGAAAGATGCACAGATTCGGGAATAGGTAAGTATTTTAGCCAAAGTGATAGTTTGCGAAAATCCCAAGGTGTTAAACACATATATAAATCAGATACAAATAAGTTTGTACTCGATGATTCATTAAGAAAACTAAATTTAGAATTTTTTTAAATTTCGAAATAATTTAATCTTTCATACATATTTTTGTAAAATAAATATTTCAGTTTAGTTTCATACAGTATTTCCTGTATTAAGGTTTTGTACAAATTTATATGTATTCACTTCTTAGAAAAGCCTTTGTAACTAAGTTTTCTATACTACTAAAAGTCACCAACTATTTTAAACGTATTTGGTACGTCACTTTTGGGCTATTTAGGTCTTGAAGCTGTCGCCCAATTTATATAAATATGTACCATACCATTTCACCCACATGAAATGTTAAAAAAAAATTAACAAATAAACATATAAACAAATTACTAGTTGTGGAAATTTGCGCGACTCTTAGTTGGTTTTCTTATCGACTTTATTAAAATACTTTTGTGATTTTACACTTACGAATGTGATTTGATGAAAGGTAATCTGGCGAAAATTCGAATATGAATTCATCTTTGACACAAATCAATTGTTATAGTTATACAACGAATTAAGGCTCACTTTTTGAAAGAATTTGAAATAATATTTGATCACATATCTGTTAAAAACGTGGAAACTTTCTTGCAAGACTTTTATGCGGAAATCCCCTTCTATGCCATTTGGATCTGTTTAGAAATAAAATGAAAAGCCCGAATAAAAGTCTCACAAAAATTAGACACATTCGTCATCAACTTCATTTTACTACACTTTATATTTCACAAACACTCAAAAAGGACATTAGACAAATTAATTAGAAAAATCCAAAATTGAACAGAACCATTAGAGACGCGAAACTTAAATGATCGATGGAGCTGCCAGTTGTCGAGTCGAAACCGACTTTGAAGTTCTATTCAGAGGGTCCAGAGAGGCTTTGAAGCTTTAAAGAGAGAAAGCCTGGAAACAATAGGGAGAGAAAAAGGTTTGCGAGAGATCACTGAAAGCTGAATGTGATCGAGAGCTTTTAATAAACGTATGAGAACAAATTTGGAATCGGAGAAGTGCAAAAAATGAGAAGGGTTATTCGACTGCTACTCTTTTCTTTAGTTCCTTTTCGGTTGAGCGTGCAATTTGATAAGAGAAATGCTTCGAAGGTGGTTTACTTTTTTATTGTTGGTGTTTCAGGGCTCTCTTTACTTTACTTTTAAGTCAGTGGGAAAAGTGTGGAATTACTCTTCATTCATGGCTAATTTTATTCTTTATTCATTTCTTGCATATCACTTTTGGTATAACATTAACGTATGTTCTCCCCTCATTGTGTTAATATCTTTATTTAATGGTGCTAAAACTGGCATCGATTTCCCTATAATCATATACTTTTATAGACTTTTAATTGGCAATTTCCTCAGTTGGCGGGGAGCACAGCAGCAACCTTGAGGTTGCCTCAATAACTCATCCGAACTTTTGTCTATTAAACGGAGGAGTCGTAAAAGCGAGAATTTAGTCATAATTTATGGCAGTTAAGCAGCTAACAAACTATCCTGCAGATAGTCCCAGGGTCCTTTGCATGTTCAGCGATAATAAGCGGGGTTTGTGGGGCGGCAGCGGCTACGGCTGGTTCTGGAGCAGGTTTTTGGTGGGGGCACTGCACCTGTCGTCGTCGTCGTCGTCGTCGCATCCAACACAAAACGCGGAAGCGACTGAAAAGCAATTATCAGGTGTCAAAATTTATATTAGAGCCAGGGCCCCATCCCACAACCCACAACCCAAAACGGGAAGCAAAAAAGTTTCCAAGGAAGCAAGTAGAAAGAAACTTGAAAATCAACTTGCAGGTCCTGCAGTTCCTGGCAGCTCCTGGCTGTCCTGTTCTAGTCCTAACCCTTTCGGGCCTCAGCTCGCGCTCTGAATGATTTGTGGCCCGAGTGCATTGGCACGCAATGCATACGATAGTGGGGTCCTTTGGGGCGTCGGTCCTTGGGAAGATACTGGGAGCGTACTCGTGGGACGCGGATATCCTTTTCAACATTTTTCGCTTTATAAAGCAATAATTTTTTTTATGCAGCATAAAATCTGCTATGGCTGCTACTACTACTATTATTTATTGGCCGTGTGCGTGTGCTGTGTGAAAATGATAGGCTGACGATGATGGGAAGTGATGGGCAGGGGCTCTGTAGGGGGTGGGTTCGTTAGAGTAGAGGAGGTGGGTTGATTAGCTCCCGAAAAGTAACTGATATACGAGAGCAATTAAGAGGGGGCCTGGAGCCAGGGCAGAGTTGGTGCCTGCCACACTCTGGCACGGTTATTGAAAACCAACTTTTGTGTGTGTGTCTGGGAGGGGGGGATCCATAAAGTAGGGGTGCGACTGCACTCTGCCACATTTCTGTTCATATCTCAAAAGAAACAATTTCGCTGCCAGAGAAATTTAATTAATTTAAGCCCTAATAAATTAAAACACCTATTGATAAGACAATACTCCAAAGAAAATAAAATGAAACTCTCTGAATCGTATCTCTGATCCGTAATCAATAATCAAACGTTTTTTTATAAATGAACAACTCCTATACGACCCTCCTGTTGATCTAAAGCAGAAAACACGTACATTTTATAGTCTTAAACGCTTCCTTTTACATCAAAACACACGAACACAATATACACACAATCCAATGCCATGACCAATGACAATCAATTTTTACTTAACACGCACTCGCCACACACTAAGCCCATGCCTGTACCCGTACTCACTCGTACACCCATTCCATACCAGAGCTCAACCCTTTCGGTACGTCGTCACAGAGAATTCATTCATAAATCCGAGCCTGGCCTTTGCCACGCACCTAAAAGTATGCAGTGAGAGAATTTCCCTTGCGTTCAATTCCGTTCAACCCAGAGAAGCAGAGAGCGCTTCCATCGTGGTGGATTTCCACAGCAAACCACCCATTGGGCAGCACACACTCTCACCAGCACAGACACTCACACGCGCACGCACACAGATGAAGCCAATGTTAGAAAAAAAAAAGGAAAGGAAAAACGAATGGAAAAGCGCCCGCCAACAAAAAGCAAAAATAAAATGTAGCCCAGCCAACAACAAAAATCACAGTTGTCTGATTCGCTCGCGAACAACCCACATAACCCACAGAGCGCGCGCCCACCCACTGGGACACCCACTCCGCCCGCACCACAGCCAAACGACGACGATTCGCCCAACATCATCTTCGGCTCCATGGAGGTCCTGTCGCCACTTCGTGGCTCGTACGCCGTCGTCGTTCCCTTCAGTCTGTCGACAGCGTTCGTGGCGTGCGGTTCGTCTTTCTGCTCATATCGGATCAGATCAGAAATCACTAGTGTCAGTGACGATTCCGGGATCTCTCGAGTGTGTTGTTTACCGCCAAGTGTTGCATTCGTGACTGCAAGTGAATGAAGAATTATGTTTATAGTGAATAAATGAATTGTGTTGAAAGGAATTCTATATAAAATTTGGATGGTTGTTATTTCCGTATATTATATAAATATTTCTGAAAGGTCTTAAAACTAAAGGAAAGCTTAAGACCCTTTTAATTGCAATAGCCTTTAAAATACGCGCCCAAAACAGTGGTGTGGGTGGGAATTCTGATAAAAGTAGTTCCATTATTTTTGAACTGAACTTCTAATTTTAAAACAGAGCAGAACAGAGAGCAGAATAGATCCTATAACTAAAAGGAATAGCATGAAATATTCAAGCAAGCTTTTACTGGAAATACCATCCAAACCTTTTCGGTAATACTCAAAAAGATAGAAAAAAAAGGGGTTTTCACTCAGTATCTCCATCTGATTTAAAAAAAAAAGTTCATAGAATCGCTAACCATCAAAAAGTGACACAAAAAAAGTATGAAATTCATATTCAAAGCCAAACCGAAACGAAACCCAAAAAACAGCCAGAAAAACGCTAGTAAATCCTTCAAAAGCAGCTTTCAAATGATGCCCGCAGACAGTTTTGATTTCGAACCCTGTGCTGACATTACTAGATAATTAAACAGAAATCGCAAGAATGGTTTTGTTACCCTCCTAAAATCAGAGTATAACTCATTCGCGTGTTCACGTTTCGGGCGCGTTTTTAGCCGCCTTGTTGGCAATTTAGCCGCGACTTTGGCGACATTTGCCGTCAGCTGCGTGTTTACTGTAATTATATTTAAAATACAAGAACAAAAGCCGAGTTATTTATGAAAACGAAACAGCAGGCAATGCCCCCTCCTCAGACAGGGGTCGTCTTCCCCTCTGCTGCACCCTCTGTCCCAAAGCCACCCTCTGAGGGGCCGGGTAATGGTCGTCACAGGATTTCCTTTTGGAGCTGCAATGCGTGTATTCCTCTTATGGGTGTCCTGGAAAATTTGCCTACAAATGTGTCTGGCCCACTGTCCCCGGCTTTGTCCTGCCGTTTATGGCCCCCCACCACCCACCCACTCTAATGTTCCAATGGCTTTATGTGTGTGTGGCCGAGAGTGTTGCCTGATTTTAGGCGCGCCAACAATTGCATACGAGTACATTCCATTTATGTATGTTTCACGACTGCTGCCGCGTGGCCTGGCGGTAATTTAAAGTTCATTGATATCCATAAAATGCAGTGTAAACACACACTCTCACACAGAAAGACACGCACACCACCAGTGGACAGACGGACAGACGGGCAGACGGACGGACATTTCCATGGAAATCTATTTTCTGTCTGTTTCAAATTTGTTGCAAATATGTTGCATACTTTTCGGGATGATCTCGCATAATAGATTCCATTCCTGGCCCATAACCGGGGGGGCGGGGAGGGGACCCATGGGGGTGGCAGCAGCAGCATAGGGCACATCACAGCACATGTTTTTCGGCCCATGTCATTTCTCTGTCATTTGCATTTTACACAGAAAATTTGATCTATTTTTGCTGTTATCATGTTGATTGTGATTGGAGTTTTCACTAAAGAGAATTTCGGGGTGGCAGAGCCAGGAGCAGGTGGGATAATGGTGAAACGAAAACATTTTGGTTACCAAATGGTTCCCACAAATTTAAATGGGAAACGTAGATGCACTTGAGGGACTTGGACCTCAATCTGTACATTGTCCATCCACTGTTGGTCTTTTGATTCCATATGGAATAGAATCTCTCATCCTCTGATACACTTATCGCTCAGACACTCCGCCCTAGAGTCAAAGTCAAGTTCCTACATATGGCATATCAATTGCAAATTACCTAAGCTCGATTTCCCAGGGAAAAAACACAAAAGAATTCAATGGAGGGCCCTCAGCAGTTTGACATAATGGCCCCGACATGTGAGTGCTGCTCGGCAGAAGGCCTGCTCTGCTGCAGCTCTACGCTCCACCTTTGCCTCTATGTTGCCTCGAGCCATTGTTGTTGCTGTTGTTAATAACAAGCGATAATAATCAACTTCCGTGCTGGAGGCGCTCGTAGGAGGAGAGTGCAAAAAACATACTGAAAAACTGAGTAAAACTTTGCATACTTCAGCCACCGCCGCAGTGGAAAATCTACTGTTTGATTTATGCTAATTTTATGCAGGGCCCTTTCCCTCAAACCGAAGCCAAGGCTCGATTAAAAATGTGAAAAGCTAGTAGGAAAAATATTTTTTTGAAAAATGTCGAAGTGCCATCAGCGATAAGAGTCGAAATATATCACGTGTTAATTAATGTTTGCACTGAAAATTGAAATTGCACTTGCTGGCTGGGGTGTCACTCTCAGTTTTCCAGCATCAGGAAAATTATTAGCCACACAACCTGGTGAGGGGAGGCCCCCTCTCGCCACACACATTATATTTTGCACATAATTTAACAGCTAATTATACAAATTGTGGATGTGTGGATGGTATGAGTAGGAGGAGGACTTTGCATGTCCGAAACCATAAAAGTAATATACGACTTCGAGAGCAGGCCCCCAAAAATGTGGCCATGAGCAGCAAGCTCTTATATTGTGTCATAAATATTTTGTACTTTGTTTTGGGGACAAAGGAATAGAAGAGCAGGGGCAGAACGCGGGAGGGCCCTTAATCAGAGGCTATGTACGATCATAATTGAAGCGTCTTTTCTGCTCCAATTAAAGAATAAATTTCCCTCTCCAATTAGTTACGCAAACAGCGGCCTAACGCCATCGATACAGTCACTTTCTCGGCTTTCATATGGCTTCGGGCTACAAATAGGATTGTGGCAAGGCTGTAGGTCTATGGCCAGAGGCTATGGCTATCACCTGTCTGTCTGTCTGTCTGTCTGTCTGTCTCCTGACATGGCCCCGCATGCTCTAAATTATTAATAATATTGCCATGCCCATTTGCCAGACGTTTTTAGTGCCTATCGTAAGCCCCGTTCCCGCCTTTTGGCCGTTTGCAGTGCAGGTTCTGTTGAGGCCTGTCCATTGTCTGGTTGCCTGTGTCTTTTGTAAGTCTGTTTTGTTTTTTTTCCAGGGCATGCCATGTGAATGTCTGCCAAAGGACACCACACACCGGCAATCCAGTTTTCAATTGTGCTAAATTATGTAAAAATCAATAAGAAACAACACACAAAGTGGAGGGGCGTAGGGCGGACAAAGAAATTTTAATGAAATGTCATTTTAAAATTGTTCCTGTCAGTTTGTGGGCGCCAGAAAGTAGGCTTTTCCTTCCACTTCGGTCCTTGTGAAAGGCACAATCGTTTGCATGTTGTCTGACTCATGGTCGAATGGAAAGTTAATAAAGTATTTGGGCAAGGATTTGGGTAGACAGAGTCAGCTACGGATTCAATGTGTTTTCATTGTGAAACAGCTTCAAAATATAGGTCTAAATACATCAGGAAAAGCGACCAATGCCTTTGTAGACATTAGACATTTCAGTAGTACCAGTTTATATACCTAGCTTAGCTCTTAATTTTAGTAGTTTTTCCAAGGACCTAGACCTTAAACAAAAGTGTGATTACAACTGCATTGCACCAGAGCCTCTGTAGAATGTTTTCCTTACTGATGTCACATACATGAGACGCCTAAAAGCAGGCAATATAAGTAAACTTTGACATAAAGCGCAACTATTTCGGACTCATTGGAGACGAGGACGAGGACGAGACGAGACGGGAAACCCTCTCCTGCCACGCAAACGATGCACGATTTTATGCTTTATTTACGAGGCCACACACGAGCAGCGTCAGCGGTAGCCAGCGAAACATTTCATTTCCGTTCCATAAACAGTTTTGGCCCTCTGGCCTCTGGCCATGCTTAAATGCCATGAGAATGAAATGAAATGAGCAGGGAGTCCTGGAAGAGGACATGCAACACCTTTGGTAAAAAGATAGTTGCCGGCTCGTACTTAATTTCTGGCAGGGCAGGGCAGCTGTTCGCCAGCACAATTTACACAGACCGAACACGCCAGCAAAATTCGAATAACAGGCAAAAGATAAATGTACGATGAACCTGCCTCAAAACATCCGGCGAGGAAGAAGGGCCCGCACCAGTCTGGGGGCCCACACTTTAAACTTGAAACTTTTTAATTTGGCGAATTTTCAACGCCCTCCTCCCGTAGCACCCCGTCCCCACCGTCCCTCCAGGCATCATGATTATTGTTTACCATTGTTTCGCAGCAGTTTTTGATTCTGTTTTCAAGTACTTTTTGTTGAACTTTCCCACAAGCTGATGCCATTAGAGAGGGGCGATGGGCGCTAATGACTGCCAATTACGCGGCGCGGTCGTTGCCGCACTCAGGCTGATCCTTTCTCTGCGGAAGGTGTGAGGGATTTCTGGTGGCATAACAAGCCTGTTTTTTCCCCATTTATTCTGTGATGTTTGCATATTAATATGATCGTTCTACAAACAGTTGGGGCTCTAATAACTATAACAAGTACATAAATGGTTTCGTGCGACTAATCGTGTGCTCAATCAAAGAAGAAGAAAAGGTGAACTTCCAAAAACAAAAAATGTATACAATATCCACACAATGCCAGAGTCCGGCTAATGGCTTCAGATTGGCTAATGCCATCAAAGTTGTGCTCCTAGTTGTCATCCTAATGTGCCAGCAATGCCATCTGCAGAGAGTGGAGGTGCCGCCAGAAGCCATAGGTAAGTTCCACCGGTTTTCAAATCCCCATTTGTTTCGTATTCAAGCACACATATTATGCCAATATTTCTCTGTTTCCCTTATAAATCCCTATCCCCTTGCTGTGATTTCTTCCATTATGTTCCAATTATCCGGCAATCATCTCTAATACCAATCGAATGCCACATTTCTCGATTACAGTTGATCCCAAATTTAGTTCACCGATTATGAATATGACAGCGCCCGTGGGACGTGATGCCTTCCTCACATGCGTCGTCCAGGATTTGGGACCCTATAAGGTACGAAGCATATCCCTATACATCTCCCTATCCCGCCGTAGAACAAATCCTGTTAATAACCGAATGTCAAATAAGCAAACTCGGGCAGATGTTCCGGCTTCCAGTTCCGCTCCCGACTCCAGCTCGGACTCAATTACACACTCAATAAGCAGCCACAAAACCCCCAGCCGGTCGCATTAATATTCATTAACGTTTTACCATTTCCCAGACAGACTCGGAATCAGTCCCAGTCAGGACCCAGTCCCCCAAGTCGGGGTAATCTCAAAGACCAAATCTCGACACTCGGAATGGCGGTGGAAGTGGAAATGAAAGTGAAAATAAAAACATAAATAGGGATATGGCCGGGGTCCGGGGGGCCGGGTGGGGGCTTTTCGAATGACAAAAGCGAAAATCACATAAAAAGTAATTGAAATATGAATGAGGACGTGTTAAGCGAGTGCCGAAGGAGAACGAGGGTCCTTTATCCCTGTCTGTATTTGTATATTTGCATTTGTATTTGTTTTGGGGGAGCGGCACCCCCAAAAGGTAACAGACGTACATCTCCATTGAAGTGCAGAAAGCATTATCCTACGGACACTCCACGGGGGGTTGGAAGGTGCGGCGCGCTTGGGGATGTGCCACAGAACGGGGGGATGCGACGTGGATGTGGCGGCGGATATCCAACCCTCAGTCAGTGCCATGGACAATTAAGCGATGTTCCCGCTCAAAGATAATTGAGCAGGCACTTGGGTGTAATTACTTATTTTATGCTGACATCGTGTGTGTGTTGGGAAACGAACTTAAATTCAATTTAAACGAAAATAATTCATTAGCCTTCGATACGACAAATGCTGTAAATTAGCCCCTCATTTCATTTATTTATGGGGGAAACTATTTTCCCATATTATGCGACATAGGAAAATAACTTGGAATACCTTCACGTGTTGACATGTCAGGGGGCGAAATGAGAATTGGGGTTCCCTCATTTACACATGCAACTCGTTTCCTGTCCTCTCCTGCGGCTCCCTTCCTATACAATATATACAAAATATTTTCAGCTTTTTAGCTTACAAGCTGCGTGCTTTATCGCATAATAATTTACCAGGGTAATTGTACAATTACGATGGTTGGTTTGGTGGGGGAAAAGAGTACATTTCTTGAATAGTTCTGCGAATAGATTGTTTTTTTTTTTTTTTTTTGCTGTATATAATTGAACGGCTTTGCATGCGCCAGAATTTGGTTCAATTTCGGTTCATTGTGGTTCACGTGAGACTTGCTTTGGGGATTCTGGTGGCATGCCAGATAAGTGTTATCTGATGGATGTCGCTGGAATGCGGCTAAAGCTAGTTAGCTTCACTAATAAATATCAATTATGTGGAAGATTACGCCCTGCTTTTAGATTGGGCCCCAACCCTGATTTTATGAACCATTAAAAATGCGAAAGATGGTTAATTCCGTATATTCAAATGCACGATAAATACATCATATAACAAATCATTTACTGTACAGATGGTAGCCCTGAATGCTAGGTTTTATAAGAGAGTTTATAAGAAAGCAGAATGGTTTACCCCTATCTTCCGCCTTTCTATTCTTTATTATCATTCTAAGTCTTAGTCCTGTCCATTACTCTCATTAAATGTTTGCAAAATTCTTTATCATACAGGTGGCGTGGCTTCGGGTCGACACCCAGACAATTCTGACCATACAAAACCATGTAATAACCAAAAACCAACGCATTGGCATTGCCAATTCCGAGCACAAGACCTGGACAATGCGCATCAGAGACATCAAAGAGTCGGACAAAGGATGGTAAGTCCACAGTACAGACCAGGCCAAAAGGATGCCTGTGGTTCTAGTAGTGATGCGACTGCAGTTAGTATTCAAATTTACAATTTTCTCACCCCACTCCAGGTACATGTGCCAAATCAACACGGATCCAATGAAAAGCCAGATGGGTTACCTGGATGTTGTGGGTAAGTCTATGAAGGCAATGGGAGGGCTTAGCAATTCTCAGCCTTTTTTCATTTGGTTAGTCAAACAATCATACGCCCCGTTGCCATGGCCTGGTTCTCGTTCTCCCTCATTGTTCGAACAGTATTCCACGTAACAAAACAGGAACAAATATTAAAAAAAATCCTGAATCCAGAACAACAAAAAACACACAAAACAAACCGTTTTCGCTGGACGTAGAAGAAGAGAGAGCAGCATCGCTGCAGCGAGGGGCCCTGGTAGGACAAAGAGCCACCGGCACACACCCAATGGAGAGGGATTCCGCTGCATAATAACCGCCAGAAGGAGTCAAAAGCCGAAACGTACTCGCGCACAGGACCCAACGGTGGCTAGCCCTGGGCGTAAGCTCTCAATTGTGACTGCTTAAACATGTTTAACCGTCCACTGAACCGCAGAAATTGTTGATTTTGAATTAAAACGGCACTGCGAATGCGGAGGCAGCATAAGAAATGCTCTCTCACGGGTCTCTCACCCGAGGAAGTGGTTCAGCAGCGGGGGTGGGGGCTTGGGCCTCTTTTCGGTTGTCCATTTGTGGTTCATTTCGGGCCCTACCACTGCCCCATCAGTAGTCCCCGCATGGGGGACGCGCTACGAGTCGGCCGCCACTCGTTCTGTGCCTAAATACCTTTCGCTGGCAAAATCTAAATCAACGCGCTAAATATTTTAGCCACCATTGCAGTCGGCGTAGCATTCACTGGCAAACACGAAAAACTATAATCAACTGTGTGTATTTGCACTGGATAATCAGTGGGCATGAGACAGTGGCGCAAGGATCATTGGGAAAGTGGTGAAAGGTAGTGCCTTATGGTGGAGATACTTTGGGAGGGATAGCGACAGCTCTTACGTTGAGTGAAAGAGTGGAAAGGGAATGGAATATGTTTTAGAAAATATATCTGCCTTCAAGATCATAACAATCCTTCTCCTCGAAATGTTGTTCCTCCTCTGTACCATTTCACTAATATCTACTAATTATAAATCACAACTTCTACCACTGTGCAATATTGAAAGGGGTGCCCGAAGCGCCAAGAGAGAGGCAGGAAAAACGGCAACGGGAAACGTTCGAGTTGCGAGCCAGCGGATGGCGGATGGCGGATGGCGGACGATGGTGGCCTGGTGGATTGGTGAATGGTGGACGGTGGACGGTGGTCGTTTCTGATGATTTTCGTGACCAAGTGCAGTTAAATAGTCAACGACAAACCGTAGAGGAAGCGACACCGCTCTCACCTTTTGGGTCTCCGCACTGCTTTTTCCCACTCTGCCACACACACACAGACAGGCAGGTAGGCAGGATATATACGATAGCGTACGATAGAGGGGCCAGGCGCCCCGCATTCCTGACATTTAAGCTGATGAGATATTCATATGCAATGTCCTCGTTTCAGATTTTTGCACACAATTTCATTCGCGGGTTTTTATTGTTTCGTTTTTAATGAGGAAAACATCTATTGACACGACAACTGAAATGGTTTAGATCTGATTGGAGTTCGGCCTCGGGGAGCTCGTATTGTAGATTGGTATATCTTTAACAATTTCATTTACCTTTTCTTGTCTTGATTTTCCGGTATTATGTCTGCTATTCCCTGTACACACCTTCTCCAGCTGCCATTTCCCGCACTCGCCCCTAACCTTGGCCACTTAATGACCGTCCAGTGGTCACCACAGGACACAGACGCGTCCTGTCCATGCGCTGACTCACTCCGCTCCGTACTGCCACGTACTGCCCGTACTGCCTGCCCCTCTCTCGCTGCCGTACTATAACAAGCTGTTTGTCAACACCAGCACATTTTTTGGTCATTTACCAACCACATAATTGCGGGATATTATATGCATACAGAGACCCGGAGACCACACACCAGAGGCCGCCATTCCATTCCGTCCCATCTCATTCCATTCCATTCCATCCGTGTGGTGTGACCCTTCACGACCCCACTCGCTTCCTGGCATTATTACGTTTTCATGGTTCATAGGTTGTCCGCTGTGGGTGTCCGCTGTGGGTGTCCGTCTCCCTCACTCTCACTCACCGTTCACCGTCTCTGTCTCTCTCTCTCTCTATATGTTCTTACCAGTGTGGCCGCGGTAATAATTTGTATTTTCAGGACATGTGAAAAGTTTGTCCTTTAAACAAAGGCGCATATACTCACACATGTACTCCCACGTTTCGCTACAGCTACAGGCAGCCACAGGCGGGAATGTACGAGCACGAGTATCTTTCGGTGGTTGCAGGCAGGAAAAATGAATCACGATCCACCGCTAGGGGACACAATCCAAGCAAATTATTTAAATGAAAAATTACATATTTAAATCATTTAAAACGATTCCAGCTCATACTCTGTTTTATTGTTCTCTTCTCTCTTTTCTCCCATTCACAATATTTTTTTAAATGTTTGTTATAAACATTATCTACCACGACGAACCGTCTGGCGACCTCGATTGCAACCCGATTGCTCCTGCCGCTGCTGCTCTTGTTGCTGCTGCAGTACCGCCGGATATCCTAGATTATCCTACAAGCACGGACATGGTCGTTCGCGAGGGCAGTAACGTGACGCTCAAATGCGCTGCAACCGGTTCACCAGAGCCGACAATTACATGGAGACGTGAAAGTGGAGTGCCCATCGAGCTGGCCAGCGGAGAAGAGGGTAAGTTCTGGGTTCGGGTACAGGTACTCCTGGTACTGTTACTGGGATTCGAATTTTGGTTTTACGGTTCAAGCACTCAGAGAAATCAGAGGCCATAGGACATCGAATCTTGGCTTGATTGATATTTATGGAGGGTTCCGTATGGCAAGAAATATTAAATAAAAACATCGAATTAATAGTTTGACCATTAAATAGCTAGCACCATTCCATATTTGTTGTATTCTTTAAAATATAGGATATGCACTGCTGCACTTAAGACATAAGATCTTTTCCATTGGGAATTTTTAAGAAGAAGTAATATTATCCGATAAAGAAATCAATTATCTATTTTTTAAACAAAAGGAGGTCTACAAAAATGAAGTTTTTTGATAGTGTAGCGATTTTTGTATCGATATTCAATCTTATAAAAAAATGATATCTAATTTTGCACCACAAAATATGGTTTTCTAAATGTTCAAGCCGATAATTTCATAGAAAATATCTGCTTATTTTTCTGACTGTAATATACGTTCCCCTTTCATCGACCACCCCTACTCGAACCCTCTCCGAAACCCGCCTCTCTTGATTTGTAAGTACTTTTGCTGTTGTTGTGGAAGTCGCCGCCACCGCCGCCGTCATCGGCATCGGCATCGGCCGCCTGCATGAGGTCTGCCATCCAACATTGAGGAGTGGAGTGGAGTACTCTTACACAAAAAAGGCAGCCGCTGCCGGCAGCCTGCCAGAGCCAAAGGCTCTGAAGCTCTGGTCTCGGCCCGAAGCCGAGAAGTGCACCTACCTGCAGGTGTGGGAGGAGGCCTTCGTCCTGTACGTGGCATAGCACCAGTAGGATGGGAGGACTGCAGGACTGTGGCCAGCATGCGAGAATTTTCGCCCGTTTTGCCCGCTGATGATGATGATGACGTCTGACTGACAGAATTAGCAAATGGTTAAGGACCATAGAGTGTTTGGGAGGGTTCACATATCCTCGCACAGGGTCGGTTCGGGTCGGGATGAAGGATGAAGGTGGAACAGGGCCAGATTTACTAATTGGCCTTGAAGTGTGTTCGTTCTCATTCGCGTTCGACAGTCTAGAGAGGAGTTGGAAAATTGCACAAACATTTTCAATTTGGAAAATTCTTTTATTGAAATATGAGTTCATTTTGTATTCCTCTGCACATGGGAAATGATTCATTTACCGATTCATTCATAAAGTTAGCCCATTCAATGCAATATTGATTCAATATTAATTATAAATTATGTCAAGATCGTCAGTGTGTGAGAGCGTACATTATTCAGCGCAATAAGGGGAATATTATTTTAAATATTTAAAAAATTGTAGTCAATGAATATTCTGCATAAGGAAATTTGTTTTTCATTCTGAGATCACTGTCCACAAATATTTTTCAATACATCACAAAATCCATAAAAACATCAACATCCCCTGAAATGTTGATTTCTCTATGGAATTTGAGCATGCCAAACATTTTAAATAATTTCCAGACCCCCAAAACAATCTCCCAGTGTTTATTAATGGCCTCGCATGAGTTATCCTTTAAAGCATCTACAAAAAAAAGTAGCCGAGTCGAGCCCCATCAAAGTCCACACGAAAGACCAAAAACGATGTGAAAACAAACTAGACTCGAAATCAAAGGTGGCCTAGGAAAAAGCCCATGAAAAAAACCCCAAAACCCGTGAACAGGAAAAAATAAAAACACAACCAAATGAGAGAGCAAGTGGATGGGATATGGGTGAAAAAAAATCAGCATAAAGAGAACAAAAAGCTTGGCGAAATGACCTTTTCGCCGAGGCTTAAATGTCTGCCACCCAATTCGAAACGGAACGGGCCATCGTCCAAACGAGCCTGCTTCCTGTCCGCAGAGTGGACCCATTCCGCATTCATATACACACTCGTATCATAGGTGCTCGTTGGAGGTAGTACCAAAGCAAGAGACAGGGAACATTATAAACTTTGTTGGGACTGAAGGCTCTTTAAGCACTAACTGTGGAAGGAGAGAGAGAGACTCTGGATAAAACATTGCCATAATATAATGGAGGGAATTTCATATAGAGAAAGTGGTTTTTCCCTATATACTTATCCGAAAAGATTTGGATACAAATTAATTTTATACACCAGTATTGAATTTAAACGATAATTATTCAGCCAAAACTCGATTTTTTCGAGCCAATTTAGATAAAGATACGAATATTTATCACTAATATGAGGGAGATATATATATATAATTCCTTGAGATACTATGTATCCTCCTCCTACTTTTTAAAGGATTTAAAAGATCCTTTAGTGTAATCCCCATTCGACATCCGATTCTGTCACCTTTTCATACTGTGTTTTTAACCTCCTTTTTCCTGGTGAAAGTTTTCTTTTTCATTTGAAATTTGATTATTTGGTTTGTGTTGTTGCTGCTGCTTCGAAATGAAATGAAATCGTCCGAACAAAAGTAAACTTTTATGCTATGGCTATGGCTACGGCCATGTCGGGGGCTTGAACCGAATTACACGTTTTTCGAGGCTATTACGTTTAATGACCGGGCCTGAACCCACCCACAAAAAAAAGGAACAACAACGAGGGGGAGAAAAGAGCAGCGTGGCTAATAAGCGAGTCGAAGTTCGCGGCAGGTCGAAAAGGCAAATCAATAAACGAAAAATCAGCTTATTATTATGTCCCGCAAGCTCTCCGTTTTCCGCGCAAACTACCTCTCTAACAATATCAAGCGCAAAATAGCCAGAACTTCCGCTTCCGGTGCACCCTGTGACCATGGTTGGGATGGTGGGAAGGGGGTCGGAAATCGTATATCCTATCCATATCATCGTCTGCTCTGCTGCCGGCTTAAACCCACAGCCCAGACACTGTGCAATTTATATTATATAAGCCATGTTCGACTATCAGAACAGGATGTTTGTCCGGCCCCCGCCGAATGCTCCGGCCAACAGCATCATAAAAAGTCACCAATAGCGGGCCATGAATGGAGGGGGCTCTGCTCTGTTGCATGCAACTTTTGTTGTGGCACTGCCTCTCTCGTTGAGTGCGGAGCTTAGGCAAATGTAATAACTATCATTACATGGAGAAGGGGCGGCAGGAGGAGGAGCATGGGCATTTGGTAGATACATTTGTAGTTATGATGTAATTACGAGTCGAGTGTAGGTGTCGGGGCCATTCTCTAAAAGTTTTACTAAAAACTCAAAAGAGAGATATCCAACATAAGTTTTTAGTGCTGCCACCACAAACGCCACAAGCAACTCAATCTGATCTGTGTGCAGTTCCTAGAAGTAGAGGAACTGTTGACTCCACATTTAATTTAGGCTCTTACGACGAGTACTACGAGTACTGTGTCAAACTCTACGGAAGAGAACCGATGCTGAGCGCTGGACGATGATTTGAACTGATATGATATGATATTGGAAATAAGAAGGCTGCAAGTGTATGTGCGTGTGTGCAGTGGGAGCGTAATAAGGTTAAACATTATACGAAGAGGTTATAGGAAATATCTAAAGTTTTGGAAGCTGCTGCTCCGAACAGGAGGCTTTAGTTAAGCGTCTCCTGCTTTAAAAAACGATTTTAGGTACTCAAGTGGTTTCCTTTTTTGCAGTTCCCAGCGTTGAAGGCACCGATCTAATAATACCCAATGTAAAGCGTCAGCATATGGGTGCCTATCTCTGCATAGCTTCCAATGGCGTTCCACCATCAGTGAGCAAGAGAATAACCCTCATTGTGCATTGTAAGTGAAAGATACACCCATGTAGATACATAATATCTAATCTGTGAGTTCCTTCTTCGCAGTCGCACCAATGATCACCGTACAGAACCAACTTATAGGCGCCGTCGAGGGCAAAGGAGTGACATTGGAATGCGAATCGGAGGCCTATCCAAAGTCCATTAACTACTGGACACGCGAACGCGGAGAGATAGTGCCGCCAGGTGAGACAACCTAAATGAATCATGGTGTCATTCAATTATTAAATAAACTATATATACGAATTACCATTAAAAATGCCATAATCCGACGACAAACACATTAGCACTAAGCCTCCTCCGGCTCTAGCGCTGGCGCTGGTGGTGGCGGTGGCGGTGGCCTTCGAATCCAATGGGAAAAACGTTTCCCCATCGGATCAAAGCCGACCCCAAAAAACTAACTAACGAAGGAATGGATGACCGTTGAGTGCAAAACCAGACGCGACAGAGACACACAAAAAAAGTTGTTAATTAGCTGATTTAGTCACGGAAAGTCACACACACACGGAGAGGAGAGTAACAGACATGACCACAGTCCTGTGGTTTCCCGAGTCTGTCTGGGAACTCGTGGGAAAGCTTAGAAAAAACAGATAGTCTGCGACTCGGGAAAACTCTTTCAGAGTCCCCTGCCTTTCCCCTCATTGTTGTCATAAATGGAAATGAAATTAATTTACAATTTGTTGGCAGTTTTTAATTGACAACAGAAAAACCGAGCCACACTCCTGCTCTGTATCCGAATTTGTATCTGTGTCTGGCCTCTGGTGTGACATGCGTTCGTGCATAAATTGTATGCCTGTCAGCAACATTGGTAAAACTTTTTGCCCCTCATTCTCTCGTCGTACACTCGGGGCCAGGCTGTGTTTGCACGTGACATGCATTTAATTATTTAATAACGCAAAATTTCAATTAAATATTAATTAGTTTATTATTTTAATGAAATATTAACTCCAAAAATCAAATGAAAAACCCCGTTGGCAGGTGGCAAATACTCGGCAAACGTCACGGAGATTGGTGGTTACCGCAACTCCATGAAACTGCACATAAATCCCCTCTCGCAGGCAGAGTTTGGGGCCTATAGATGTGTGGCCAAGAACTCCCTTGGCGATACGGATGGCACCATCAAGCTGTACAGTGAGTATAACTAACCCGTTGATGGGATAATAGATGTGCTAACGCCCATGGTAACCCCTATGATAACCCCCACAGGAATACCGCCCAATGCCGTCAATTATGTGGAGAACTTTGAGGCGCGACACAAGGGTAAGTGTTAACTCCATTGCGAGAGAATGAATCCTCTTAGCAGCAACTTTTAAGCAGAGAAACAAAGCGCGAGAAAAGAAAAAATTTAATAGCCACTTGGCATAAATTTAAGATGAGCTCAAAATATTCCACTTTTGGCTGTGGGGGGAGGGGAATCCTAGGGAAGTATAAAGCTGGAAGCCGGCGACAACAGACGGAGAAAGAAACAGAGAGAGAGAGAGAGAGAGAAAAAAGCCCATAAATAATTCATTCGGCATGCAAATCCGTTTCAAATCGTCAACGCCACGAATCAGGTGAATGTTGCAACACGGGGCGGATGGAGGCGAAATAAGACTCAGAATGGGTTGCGGTTCTCTGAGGTCAGAGAGTGAAAGAAATGGAAATGGAAATTGAAAAGCAACAAACGAGCGACAAGTTTATTATGAATATGCATTAAGACCAACAGAGTAACTTAAAGATACACCTGCCTCTGCTGCTACTTCTACTCCGACTAAACCGCAATTCAATAATTCTTCTCCATTGCACAGGCAAAAAGCGGACGAAAAGCTCGGAAATGTATCATCCGGCTCGGGCACAGGAGCACAGCGGCGAGGATATGGAGAATCCTGGCAAGAGAAAAGGTAAGAGAGAGAGAGAAAGCGAGAAAGAGTGTGGTGTGCAGGGCACCGATTAGGGTTATGGGCCATATTTCAAGTATTTTCCTTGTGGTTTGGGCTCCGGAGGCAGCGGGGGCATAACAGGCCACTTGAGACGGCAGAAAAGCCATAAAAAAAAGGGACCCCAGTGCCAGTTCCAATTCCAGATCCCCGTTCCCTGTTTAACAGATTTTCACACTAATTTGCCAGAAAAGGAAAACGGCAAAAGAGAAGAAGAATACTGAAAACCATAGCACACTTTTTGGGGCGCGCCGCAGGTAAAACTTTCCTTGCTCTTAGTCGGGGTCTTTGGGGCCATAATAATTGTATATCAATAAACACGCTCGGCTTGGCTTTATGGCAATTTAATGATTTGTAAATACTTGGGGCCCACAATCAAATAAATTCTTCTTTTGTGTGGTCGAAAAGTTGAAAATACTCTCGTACTTCTTTGGGTTATTTTTATAGCTTAATTGAGGGGCACGAGAAAGTTTTCGTAGCAAGAGGAGTACACCTTGGACGACCCATTAAATTCTGTAAATTTAGGTAAAACGTAAAGGTTTTGGCGCCAGTGTGTTTTTGGGGCGACAAGCTTGTCGAAAATGTCTGCTAATCACATCGGTTGGCCCTCGAGTCAAACGATTTAGCCAATTTCCGCCCCGTCCGCGAGATGGCCAACCCATTTACATACGACTCTCATACGATCTTCCCCACCCCACACAGCCGATTTGAGTCTCAGTGCGGAGAGCATTGACAGCATGTATGGGGCGTCGTCCTCGGCAGTGGTTCAGCACCAGACCCTGAACCGGCTACTTCTCATCCTGGTTCTGGCCCTAACGACAACGACGACGGTGGCGACGATGGCGACGGCGACGGCGACGGGAATGATGCGGAAAACCCAGCTGCCATTGTTGCCACACACACAGACACATGTTTGACACAGACGCGAAGTTGACAGCCCTGTGGCCACCCCGAACATGGACTACTTGCCGCTAAATCTGGAACTGAAGTCGAAGCTGATGCTCCAGCTGAAGCTGGTGCTGGTGCTGGCACTGGAGTCGCAGCACAAATCTGTGGAGCTGCGATGATGATTGAGTTTGTCAATGCCAAAAGTTACTTGGTGCTGATTTATGGCTGCGATGTGGTCGGGTCGGTCTTTAGTTAAAGTTTGTTTGTCAACCAGATTATACATTACACATACATATACTCGAAGATATATAGTACGAGTATCAGAACGATGTTAGCTTTTAAGTCAACCAGGCTTCCTAAATTTCCCCCGATGAGACGCGTGCATGTTGAGCTGTTGAGAATTCTCTAAATATTTTAAGACTTAGCCCTAATCATAGTACAAGTATCCATTGTATAATATCGAATATGCAAATCAATTACTGCACATGTACATAGAGCAGAGCAAGGGAACGCAAATGCAAAGGAAATTTGTAAGTATATATCTTTAGGACGGGCTATTATGTATTATAAAATTTGTATAAACCAAAAATGTGTGGGCATAATTAAAGAGACTGTATGTGTGCAAAGTAATAGTTAATTGCAATTTAATTAAATCCTAAAGGTGTATAATTTTCCACAAATATTCATATGAAATTAGTCTTTAATGGAAGGATGGAGAAAGGATAAAAGCAGACAAGAAATATACTTCAAATAACCATAATGAAAATATCAACCAAAAGGAAGAGGAAAGAACCTCCGCCAAATGCTCAAAAAGTTATCAATACAAAATTACCACAAAAATACAAGCTCAGCAAAAGGCTGTGTTCCAGAAAATATCCCCTCCAAAATGAATCCATAGTTAAACTCCTATAGAACCTTATCCAAGAGTTTCCACCACATTTAATTCATATTTAAAAACAATGTTTCAATAATAAAAAAACGCCATACATATCATTTACTGAAGCATGCTAAACATATTAAATACTAATTAAAAACAACATTTATCGATCATTTTTGGGCATACTCGTATTTGTTTCAAACAAACAATCAATACTATTAAATTGAAAAACAAAAACGCGTTATTTACAAATACATATACATATATATGCAAAAAGAAAAAACAACGGTAAACAGCTTAAAGTGCGCTGCAAAAATTTAAATCTCGTGTTAATCCGACTTTTAAGTGGTAATGAATTATAATTAAAATATTAAAATTAAGCAGCGTGTATATTTCCAGCCGAAATTGAATTGTTAAAAAAAAGAAAATTGTATGAGTTACATTTATATTGTCATAAAATATACATCATATAAATATATATACAGTATATATATATATATATATGAATATCTAAGTAATGTAAGCATCACATGTAAATGGACAGGAATATTTATAAAATAAATATGAAAAACAAAAATAAACATTTAAGCGTTAAGTCAACAAAAGGTGTTGCATTTTGAATGGGGCTCCTCGAGGAAAACTTTAAGGATTTGAAGGACAAGCCCAGAGGAAATATTCCATTTAGAGAGAGGAACAGCATCTCTCAAGATACATTGCTACTCTATGAAGCTACAACCAAATGCCACCAGAAATTGATGAAAATTCTAGATTTTATAATTTTAATTTGTACCTTCATGAATCCTCTTCCTGGAAAGTATCTAATGGTCTCATTTTGAAACCATTTTTGGCTCCCAAAAAATCATTCCCAAGCAGCACCTGTCCTCCACTCCCAATAGCATAGCAATGTTCACACTTAATTGCAGTTTATTCTATGATATCCTTCCACCCAACAATTACAACTTATATAACAGGTAACTGAACTCTAAATTTTTATTTAATGGCAGCTCGTAAGTTTTAATTTTATTCGCCTAACGACTTGGCAAATCATTTCCAACCCCCACTAAATGCCCGACTATTGAGCTGAGATTTGATTTTGAAGAGGGCCAGCCCATCAAAGAAGCGCATAAATTACAAGCACACACTTATACTCTGTGGGTATAGCTGGACACTAAAAAAATCAAATTAAAAGTGGCAACAAATTCGGAATAAAACCAAAAAAAAATCAAAAAAAAAGCTTTCATTAGAAGGAACTTTAAGTGCGGGCCAGCACGCAAAACCAAACCAAACGAAACCCCTAACCGAATAGAACCGAAAAAATACTACTCGTACGAACAAAGCAAAGCCAAAATTAGAAAACACAACTCTCGGGGAGAACTCTTCAAAAAGCTCAGGCTAATAAAAGGCCCTCACCTCGCCCGATGTCTGTGTGTGAACGTGCATATACATACATACCTACACATATATCTATGTATATATATGTATTTGTGAGCGTGTGTATTACGAGTAGTTTTTATTACATTTGTTTCCAGGAATTTTCAAACATGCCAAAACAGGTGCAACCACAGCACCATTCCGGCTTACGTGAGCTCCTTGTTGGCTCCTTTTTTTTGCTCCCCTTTTTTAGTGCATTTTCATGGATTTTTCCCCTTTCTCTCTTTAGGAGGGGTGGGGTGAAAAAAGGACCGCCAACGAGCGGCAGTGCCCTGACAGACATTTTTGCATATAATGCATATAAATCTCAAGGTTAAAATGTTGTAAATATGCATTTACCTCTCTCGGGAGGCGAATGTGAACCAAAAGCCATCGCCCGACGGTCCTCCCCCCACCGACTGACCCAAATAGTTTCGATTTTAATAATGTCAAACTGCTAAGGGGCATTACGGGGTCCATTGGCTCCATGTATGTACGTTGGAAAAAACCATCACCTGAGTGCGGTCAAAAGAGATCATTTTTCCGCCTGTATAAGTATCACGATACTCGCATGAAGGCCATTTAAAGCGAACATTTATGAAATTGTGGTGTATTTCCCTGGAAAGTGGAGTATATTTTAAATTAATGACGCTTCATAAATTGCAAGAATATGTTGTTTTACACAAGTGTGTGTAATCAATTCAGATCGATTTCATAAATATGTAATGATTGAATGTGTGTTTATTTGAGGCGTTAAGCAAACATCTTGTTTAAGATGTTAAAGTCTGATGCCTTCTTTTTCTATTAACAATCCCTTATATTGTATATAATCATTTGTCCAAATAGTAGTCTCCTAGCCCCCTTCAAACACCATATCTAATTGCTTGCTTGCTCACAATTTTCGCCGAAATTCAATTAACAGGCAACAATTATAGTACAGGTTTAGATACGCTACCCGAAGCGAATTTCTATATTAGCATAATTACAAAAATGTGTCCCCAGGATGAGGACCGACGGCCACAGGAGGAGGAAACCAGCGCAGTGGCGCCAGCTAACGGTGGTGTATGCCAGCTAGCTGCCTGCAGGACCTGCACACAATTAACATTACTTAAATACACATTAAGGTTAAAGACGCGCAATTTCTTCATGTTTTGAGGCTATTTTTTCAGCGTTGAGTTGTTCAACAGAGCCCCCCGGGGTGGAGGAGATTCGAAAAGAGCCACAAAAATTGCGTGACGCACCAAAAGAAAAGCATTTCAACACACAAAAAGGGAAAGCAAAGCCGAGGGAATGATTAGGGGGAAACAACACAAAAAATAATTTTATAGAGAAGTGTCTCGACAGGGCAATACTTTACAATGGATTCAATGCAAGATATTGATAAAAACTTGGCCACTTGTTTTCTAAAATTTCTACAAATGGATCCCAATTTTCATATTTATTTATTTTCGAATGGGAAACACTTTCGTTTTTATACAATATACCCTTCTTCAACAATTACGAGGTATTCAAACTTAGGTTAAAGCGGGACACAATGCCGCACACAGGAAGGGCAATGAAAATAAACACAGTAATTAAGTTAATGAGCATTTTGAGATTTATTATTAATTTTCTTTTGGTCCTTTTTTGTCCGCCTGCGTGGTGAAGGAAAATCATTTCGAATATTCGTATTTTTTCCTGGTTATTTATTACAATTATTTGCGGCATTTTGATTTGCATTTAAAATGTTTCAAAGCCACAAATTCGTCCTAATCTGCATACATTTTTGGGTTACAATAAATGTTTTATTTTCTGAGCGTGTGTGTGTGTCCTTGCGTATCCCTAATTGTTATTTAAATGCTTTGCAAATGAATTTAAATGGTCTACTGATGGAAAAAGTCAAACGACTTGAAATGGTTCCTTAATTTATGGCCCAGGCCCAGGCCATAAAAATCTCCACATCGCATTAACATTTTGTGTCATTCGAAAGTCTGTGCTGTGATTATGCCATCATCGTATGAGTAGGGTTTCCATTTCGAGCTGGTTCGCTGGTCCCTAAATTTTACGATTTCATATTAAAGTTTATGGCCTCGGCAGAAGTTGCTTCGAGAAGAAAACGGGCAACAATTTGTTACCTAGACAATGTTTCAGAGGAGGACAATTACTCATTCTAGAGAATCAAACCAGAATCTTCTTCAATCAATAGCCCACAAAGGACTCCACTTAATTTATCAATTTACATACGATTCTGGCAAATGGCTGTGCCACAAATCCCCACTCGCAATCATTAGCTGGCCCACAAAAGATAATAATAATGATGAGAGGGCCCACAAAAAGCGATTAACCAGGCCCACAAAACTTGTTAACAAATTGCCAGAGCTTAGGCCCAACAACAAGGGCCTAATCACCTGAGAAAAACCCCCACCAAGTGAGAGAAAAGCCCCCCAAAAGACCTGTCATATAGCCCACATAATCATGTCGGACACTGCGCTCTCATCGTGTAAACAAAACTACAATTAATCAAAGATTTTACCCAACCGGACTTTATTACACGAGGCTTTGGTTAATTGCATAAATAAAAGTCCAATGTCCAGGGTGGCTAGAGGGAAAAAAAGGGAGAGCTTAATTAAGGAGGGTTTCCACGTCTCCCCGTGGACCTGGCAAATAAATAATAAAAACACAAATTGACTCAAACACCGCAACAGAATGAGCTGAAAATAGAGGAAGGTAATGAAACAAACATTGGGGGAATAGGACCAGAAAGGACAACCGCATAATGCGGGAGGAAGGATTTGCGGTGGGAAGCTACGATTACAGGGAGGTTAATGCCTTTGTTTCCATCCGAAAGTATCGGAAATATGTCTAAAAATATCACAATACCCAATGAAACCTCTGACAAGTGATATGGCGGGAAGTTTCGCTCAAAGGATTGGGCATAGAAGGCTCTTCGGACGGAAATATCCACTTGTATGTGCTGTCTGTGGTCTGTAATTAAAACAACTATAATTGCCAGAGTTGGGCATGTGGCAAGTGCACTGACAGAAAGATATTTCCATGAAAAAAGGAAGCATTTATTAAACATAGGAAAATAATTCATTATTGAGCCGTTTGGCTTTATTCATTTTTTTTTTTTTGTATTTGTAGTTTAAGGGTTCAAAGGAAAAATATAAAAGAGAACTCAAAAATGATTAAGCTTTTGGGACGGATCCTTAAAGGCAACGATCGTCTTCCGTGGGATCAGTGCTGGATTCCCACTTGTTCGGATTAATGAAGATGTCCGACACAGTGCCCCGCAGCGTCGCGAACCCCTGGTTGAGGGGCACGGGCATGGGACGCGACTGAATGGTCTCCATCCATTTTGTATAAGCGGCCTCGGCCAGCTCGATGCGCTTCTTCTCCTCCTCCTCCCGATGTTCGCGCTCGCGGCGAAGACGATCGCGCTCCCGCTGCTGTTGCTCCATCTTGCGGCGTTCCCATTCCTTGATTCGCTCCTTGACCTCTTCTGGGCTCTCCTTCCGAAGGGACACGGGCCGCTGCGACCCGCTGCGGGTCGTCTCACTGACCTGCAACAGCCTTTTTTTCTCGCGCAGTTTTTGCTGCTCCTTGCGGAGGCACCACTCGTCGTATTTTTTCTTTGATTTCTCGGCCCGCTCGGCCATTTCCCTTTCGCGCTCCTCTCGCTCCCGCTTAGCGGCCAGGAGCTTCTTCTGCATTTGGTCCGCTTTAAGCTGCTTCCATTTCTCAAATTTCAGGCTATTGCGCTCCTTCGTCTCCTCGAGGCTCT